TGTTCCTTTAGCTTCCGCTGCAGTGTGGAATTCAGAGATTGCTCATCCTCATATTTAGAGTTGACAGAATTTATTTCCATATCCCTCCTGCAAGGGAAGGTTTGCTCTCCTGAGGAAAGGGTCCCAGTAAGCTATTGAGGGAATGGGACCTGGGCTGCCAGAGGAGGGCTTGGACAGCTGAAGCTACTCCTCTCTCAACTTTTGGCCTTCAGTGTCACCCAATGGAGGAGTTAGACCTCAGAATCTGCTCACTCACTCACCCATTCACACATTATTATTGCCACATATGTTTATTGAGCATCTATTATACCAGATGTTGTTTGGGGCTCTAGGGACACAGTGAACAAAAGAGACAGAAATCACAGCTCTGGTGTAGCTTGCATTTGAGAGGCTCCAGAACCACAGTGATGCTTTGCCTTTTTAGGGAAAACTGTTCCTTAAGAACTTTCCATAAAGTGCTCAGATGTGTGAGCTGCATGTGAGAACCAGGATGCCTGGGATTGAGTGGATGAGGAACGTGGGCAGGGCCTCGTGCACCTCCTGGGTATGCCACAGGGGAAATGTGCCAAGATACAGATTTAGCTGACATGCTCCTCTCTCTGGTGCTTTAAAGTTACTTTATCAAATGTACTTCCAAGATACAGTCTCCAAATTCTGCTCCCTAAAATCTTTCACCATCTAACTCTACATTTTCTTCCCTTTGGATACTTACTTGGTTCAGGTTCTTGCCTGGACTATTGCAGTAGCTTCATACTTTTCTTCCTCCTTCCAGATTTTCTCTACTCCACCTGTCCTCTATGTTAACATCAGAGTGATATTGATAAAACACTCTCTTGACTCCTTGCTATCCTCAAGAGCAAGCTCACTGGTATCCATGGAAACTCCTGGGCCTGCCTACTCCTTGGTTTCCCCAGGGAAGTGGTTCTAGTCTCTTTTCCTGTTCCCAAGAGGCACTTATGGTGAGAGTTTGGGAGCTCCCTGCAGTCAGGGCAGTACCTACTCCTTTGCCTGTCCTCCATGCTGGGCCCAGAGCCTGCACGTGGCAGGTGCTTGGGACATGCATTCATATGCACGAGGCCCTTGAACAGTGCCTGGCACAGAGGAGATGAATGCCTGCGTAGGCGTACTTTTTCACCACCTCCTCGAGGTCTAGCTTGGAGCGCTCCATTTCATTGAGGTTGTCAATGGTCATCTTCAAGTCACCCTCAGCTTTCCGACGAGCCTTTTCTACCTCCGCCCGGATTTTCTTTTCCTGCTCCCAATTATCTTCCAGCTATTGAGTCAAAAAAAAAAAAAAAAAAACAAAA